ATCGTCCCCGACGCTTGATCGCCCCATGCACGCGGACGGAGAGAGAGGCGGGGTGGGGGGGGGGGGGAAGTAAAGTATCGCGAGGTTACGCCCTGAGTCCCGTCTGTCTCGCGTTGCCACCTCTCATTAGAGATGAGAGAGCAGGTACTGAAGAACAATTATTAAATATTAATAATCAATAAAAGAACAAATCAGGACAAAGAAACATCAATAATCAATTCATTGTTTATTGGCATGAAAGTAAAAAGAAACAATGTTGCCAAAGTATCAGAAAACACAAGAAAACAATAATACTAAACAGAACATATATGTGTATTTAAAACAATAATATTATACTTTAATTATATACATATTTTATACATATTCCTTTTCATTCGGCACAATATATATTCTGGTTTTCAAAATAAATTCAGAAAAAGAATCACTGGATATCAGTGTAAGAAATATGTGACAGTCAGAAGGACAGAGGAGGACAGAGGAGAGAGGAAAGGAGAGAGGAAAGGAGAGAGGAGAGAGGAGAGAGGAAAGGAGAGTGTGAAGGAGAGAGAAGAGAGGAGAGAGGAAAGGAGAGTGTGAAGGAGAGAGAAGAGAGGAAAGAGTGAAGGTCTGTGGAGTTGTGCTGCCTCCTGCTGGAGGACAGATGTACTGCAGGAAGAGGAAATACTCAGTTACTAGGTCCTGCATTCTAAAGTACAAATATATATCTATATATTATGTTATTGTATTAATGTGTTTATTGCCTTAATGTTGCAGCTGGTGAATGTCTCATCATATCTTTACCTGTGATTATACATCACAGGTCTGGTACACCAGACACATGTACACGTATATACAAGTACCTTCAAAGTGTACTTCAGTCCAGTACTTGAGTAAATGTACTCTGTTATCTTCCACCACTGCTGCTTCAAATCATTTCAAATAAAAATGATTAACATTTGAACATATATGTGATGAGTTTCATAAATAACAGAAATATGTTTTATTGTTTCTACTAATGTTGATTGAGTCATTTTTAATACTTTTTATACAATATTCTTCTCAAACAACAATAAAAACAACTAGTTCATTATTCAACGACAGTCACATTTAATAAAGTGGTTATAGTTTTATTAATGTCAGTAAATTCTCTCTCAGCTGAGTTATGAATCACAAAGTGAAGACGATTCAAATCAGATTTAAAAAACTTTATTAAAAAGACAAACTTTTACAACTGGACCACCAATAAAACAATCATATAAAAAGAAAGATGATTGTGTTTATTGTTCATTATGAAGCTTATTCAGCACAGAGTTTTGTTTAGATGCCTTTCATGGAACCTCGACATCTCGTTAAGATCATCAAATAATAATAATAATTATTATCATTATAATCATACATCTTATTTAACGGTACTGCTCATGGCCCTCAAGGTTTACATCAAAGCACCAACAATAACAATAAATGACTAAAAACATCAGTTTTCTCCATTAAAGACTAATTCTTAAATTAAAAAATGTTCCTGAAACCAGAAGAACAAACGTAAAACAGACGAGTTTAAAACATAAAAACGGTTCAAAAAATAACGTCTTACAAAACAAAACAAGAGAAAAAACTCTTTACAAAACTTTATCCAACAATTTGCATAAACTGAGTTTATAATCGAACGGATAAACTTATGTTTTCATGAGTGAGGCTGAATAATGCAGCCATGTCTTTTATTAGTATAAGTATATATATATATATATATATATATATATATATATATAAGTGATAGTTCTGTTGTGGGCACATTCTGTATAAAAGTAACGGAGAACTTCTCGGTCGTGATTTTAAAGATAATTTAAAACAAATCAACATATTGTTATTATGTTGATATAAAACGTAAAGTCAGCATTATGGCTCCTTAAAAAGTTGAACATGAACGTGATTTCTAGAAGACATAGTTGTTAGAAATACTGGATTATGAGTGTTTTTAAAAGCTCCGATGTGTTTTATTTGCGCGACTGTTTTTAAAATAAAAACATATTTAATAGATGATATAATCACATTCAACTTCTACACAGACGGGCTTTACGCTGTACTAAAGGTTATCTGGATGTAACTCCAGTTCTATGAGTGTTTAGCTCGTAATCGTCTTTCCGGCTTCGCTCCGCTCTCAGCGTCATCTCTGACACTAAATACAAATGAAACAGGACACTCATGAAGTTGTTCAACGAGCAGCTTCGTCCGGCTGCAGTTCAGCATGTTTCCCATCGAGCGGTCGCTCCTCGAGGATTCATTCCTCTCGACAGCATCACAACCTTCTGGGGAATAAATTTCCATCATTTAAAGTAGACAGGAAAGATGTCGTAACGTGAACAACGAGACGTGAACTTACCGAAGCGCTCGGAGTCTAGAGAGGCGGAGGATAATCTTTACTCCTCTTCCTCACGCACACAAGTCTGAAATCACATTTACAGCTCAGATGTCTACACAGATCCACCATCTGGATCATTTCAGTTGTTACAAAATGACAAATTACGTTTTCATTTCCGAGATAGCGATCTTAAAATGGAAGCTGATAATTAGACTTATGAACTGGAAAGTAACGGAAATGGTTCAATATTTTGATAACAAGCATTCTTGCCAATAGGTTAGCTTAGCTTAGCATGAAGACTGGAAACAGGTGGAAACTGTTAGCCTGGCTCTGCGCAAACGAAACAAAAGAGGAAGTCTCCAGATAGAAACAACTTAAAGACTCCATTGTGAGTAAAAGTCCCGAAATACAAACTTTACTCGAGTAAAAGTACGAAAGTAGAATCAGAAAAATGTAACTCATAGTGCAGGGGAATGACCGCCATCTTATATTGTAATATATTAAAATTAATTTAGCATTTTTTCTAATGCAACGGCTCATGGTTGAGAAAGAACCAAATTTTAACTTATGTGTCATTTAATTTCATATAAGCATCATATTTCATAACTCTTTTATGGTTTTTACACAAAAAAACAGTTTTACAAAGTAAAAAACGTATAATATTATAAAATGTAGTATCAAAACATGGAATTACTCAAGTGAAGTACAAGAATATTAAAGTTGCGCTTACAGAAAGAAGTATTTACAGCATCGAAATCTTGCTGTAATTTCTTTCACGTGACAGACCCGCGCTAGCTGTTTCCCCCTGCTTCCAGTCTTTATGCTAAGCTAAGCTAAGCGCCTCCACCAACGCGTTTACAGAAGTGATCTCACTTTGTGGCCGAAGGTTCCAGGCTGAAGTTGACATCGATCAGCTGTTGATTCTGTTCCATCAGAGGATAAACAGCGGTCGGAAACGTCTCTCTGTTGATCTGTTTGTCGTCACTGAAGGAAGGTTTGTAGTTAACTTCAACAGTAACATGTAGTCATACAGTCAGTAACATGTAGTCATACAGTCAG